ATAGCTTTACACCACTCATTTGATTCAGTTAAACAAATTGTTTATCGAGAGTATTTTACACCAAAAACAAGTTTCTGGATAGTACTTATAAAAGTTGCATTAGTATTGTCATTAGTAATAATGATAATCAATATACTGTTAAATTAATTGTCTGTGAAAAATCATCTGTTTGCTTCAACGGCTACCTGACCCATCTCTGTAGTATATTGTAGTCTAATTTAGCTTCACAGGTCTTTTCTCTCAAAAGGTCTGCTGAAAATTTCTGGGTCACAATATATGATTTATGCATCAACAATGAACTGTGCTCTTTTATTCCAAACTGAGAAGGTGGGATGATTGAGCAAAGGAGTGAATCAGGTGAGCAGACTGTTATGGCACAAAAGGATGAGCGAACACATCAGGGACAAGTTATTAGCATCACAACCCATGTGTTTGAAATGGGAAAATGTATTGAGGACATTTTCAAGGGTCAAAAATAGAAGCCAGTGATATCATTATATTATTAAACAGTTTGATATCCCCTTACTGTGTTTGAGAGATTTGTTAATTTGAAGTATTTAATTCTAATCAGCTTGATACTGTGGTATCAGTGCGGCTGTCCTCGAGACTAGGAGATTCACTAGAAGATTCATTTTCTTTTCTTACTATAAAAACAAATTGATTTCAGCAATATCAATCATGTATGTTTCCTTTTAAAGGGGAACATGTTCATTGTAACAAAATAGACTTGGATATATATTTTTTCATCCTGTTTTTAGAGCACACAATTATGCACTTATTTCTGTCCAAAAATGTAGCAAACAGCACCCACAGATGACATTTATACAGTCCGAACCGGACAATAAGTGGTTTCATAGCTCACCATCAGCCAGCAGCCACGAGTCAACTGTGGTCACAGCACCTGATCATCTCAGAGCTCAGTCATTTCAGAGCTCTCAGAGGTGCTTTAAAAGAGAGTCTGCTTGGCAGCATCAGGCGAGGGTTTATTACTGTACCTCAACACCTGTCTGAGATGATTGGGCCAGGTAATTGAGGGTCAGAGTGAAAAAGAGCTCTTTGAGCCTTGTCTGTGACAGAAAGTATGAGTGATGGGACTGACGGGCTGCGATTATCCAGCACAAGGCCGTCATCAGTAATGTAGACTCATCACTGGAACAGAGGAGATTTTGGAAATGGTGCCTTCCGTTGTCATTAGGACCTATCTTATACATAAACCTTTGAGTTTATGTCGCAATGTTAAGGAAAATATTGCTGTTTATACTCTGTCAATTCAATGGTGCTGATAATGCGTTTAATTATTTAAAGCTGTGCCAGTGATTCCATTTCTGCTCTCACTCCACCTTTGCATTTTCGTTATGAGTGAACTCCTAACAAACTAGCATCAAATCTTTTTTGGAGAGATGGATATTTGTATGTGGTAAATGTACATTCAGCTGTTTTAGACTTAGTTTTTCTTGTGGAGAAAAATGAAGAAAAAGAGCGATAAATCTAATTGTGAATAGTTTTATTCTGCTGCATTAGATCACAGTATCCTATCAAGAGGGGAGGTTGGAGAGAAGATAACAGATGTTAAGTGTTGCTGGCTGGCACTCTCTGATGGTATAGCATGGAAGTCTGTATTTTATTAAATTACTGTTGTCTCAATTTGGCGCTTAGTATTTTTATATTTCTATCAAAATCCGCATGGACCTTTTCATGTGGCGTTTGCATGTTGTCCTCATGTATGTGTACGTCTTCCTCCCACAATCCAAAAAAGCCCCCGCCCCCCAACTGTACAAGGAATAAACAGTATAGACAATCGATGGAGCCATAATTTTTAGCTTAATGCTAAATAAATTATTGGTAATTGTCTTATGTAAAAGTATATCTTTAACATTTTTCTAATTGTGCTAGTGCAAGGGGTATCATGTTTTTGCATTCATATTCTAGTCTTTACCAGCAAATAAACACCACGTTGAGAGATGACATCTGCAGCGTAGCAATCTGTGCATATGTAAAAAATAAATCAGGTGTGATTTACCAGAA